CGCGCGCATGCGGTTGCAGATGCGGTTCTGAAATAAGCATTTTAAAATGTTTTCAAAATAAGTCTGGCACTTTGGAGAAAATCCAGGACTTGCTGGAGGGATTATGTATCCCCTCTGGTCTGGGAACGTCTCAGAGTCCCCCAGGACGAGCTGGAAGGTGTCGCTGGGGAGAGCGGGGTCTCCTGGTCTAGGTCATGTCCTGTCTTCGGCTTCGTACTGCTTTATGACTTCCCACGCTCTCCTGTACTTCTGAGTGTTTCGTCTCACTGCTTGCTGTCTTCTTTCTGGCAAAAAGCCACGGGCTGAGCAGAATCAATGCTCCTGTGTTATCCTTGTTGTGTTTGGGGTCTTCTTCTTCTTCTTCTACAACATTTTTATGGTGGCTGGAAAATAGCTTAATGGAGCTTTACCACCACCTGCTGGCAAAAGTGTGTAGTGTCAATTTTCAGACTCTGGAACCGCCCAGAACCCAGCCCAATACAGTGTAATGGAACCATACCTGAACCATACCGAGTAGAGTTGGGCCAAGTCAAACTGTGCTGTAATGGCAGTAGTGGAAAAGGAGCAATGATGGAAATCAAAAATCATGAAGTGTTGTTTTGTTGTTGCCGCTGTTTACAATGTAGATGTGTGAAGATCTGTGGCTCTGGGATCAATTTGATGTTTAAACAAGTCGAAAACCCAGAAAACGTTGAAGTATTTTTTTTAAGTATCAAACAAATCATGTCTAGTTAAGATAAATGAGGTCCGAAAAATGTTTCTTGTATCTCACTGGACCGTGACTGTCGCAACAAAATCGTGGACTTTTTAAAATACCCCGGTACTTCCTGTTTGAGCTCAGTAGTTGGAATTGCAGTGCTCTTTCAGAACTCGTTGATATTCAAGAAAAGTATGGAAGGATTTGGTGGCCGATAAAATAGGCTGGAAGACTAAAATGTTCAAAATGAGATTAATAACTATCAACAAACAAATCTTTACAGTTACATACAAACATCTTCTAAGAATCAGTTTTGTTCGATTCCAATAAAATTAGCATAAGTTTTCATGTTTTTGTGTCACTAGCTGCGTCTCCATTGACCATGAAAATGCACAAATTAGAATTTCAAAAATAAAATTTGCTCAATGGAAACACGTCAGTTTCGAAAAAAATTACATTTTTCGACAAAATGTTTTTGCGCTAGGATGAGGTGGTTTTTCAGCCGTATCGAAATTGGTGTTTTTCGCAAAACTACAATGGAAACACTTTTTTCACATCACAGGAGTCACGTGATCAACAACCGGCTGTTTCTACTGGTGAAAAAGAAGAAGGTAACAGGAAGTAGAAGTAGTAGTAATATCACAGAAGTAGTATAAAATAGTAAAC